ATCCTATGTGTCACTCAATAAAAGTTTTAAGGAATATGTCATTTAAACTAACCAATGAAAACATTTCAACTAAAATTATATTCCATAGTGAAAAATTCTATATATTTTTATTAATTTTATAACTTAAACCCATTAATACATATTTTACAAATCTAAGTCTAACTAAATGTAATATTTAGACTCACCATATCATCTATTTTTTTTTTAACTTTTTCTTATTATATTTGTAACAATATTATTTATTTTGCATATATGTATTTAGATTAGTATGATATATGCACATATTTACACATTTCATTATTGGAAAATATATATTATTTTTTGTTTATTATCTCCGATACATTCATATAAATCTAAAATTTATCTGATTTACCGCATGCTCTATAATTTCCACGGATAATAAAAATTAATTTTACAATTATGCACAATGCATATCATTTTTATAAGTTTATAAATATTGAAAATCATATGATTTGTCATACATATTTAAATATTAAAATTGATTAAAAATATATTTAATCTTTTAATTTCATGCTTGGTATGGGTCAGAATCTAGTATATATTACGAATGGTCCACAATATGAGATTACTGATTGAATATTAAAAAATGAAAACACGACGACGAGGACAATTCAACACAATCAGAGAGTCATCATCATATTTGGGTTCATATTCTAATAAACTAGTGACCTTGCCAAATCTTTGGTTGGGCTTTATCGAGGATCGCTTTAAACTAATGTGGGTTGATTAACCATTAGCTTTACCAAATATTTTTTAAAATTAACAACGTCTAAGAAATACTTCACCGTCTTTGATTAATAATAGATTGAAACATCGAAGAACGAGATATTTGAACTTTTCAAAATATTACTTTCACTTCACGAGATTGAATATTGCATTATAATTAAAATTGTGACTCAAAAATCGGGATTCCTACCATGAAAATGATTGGAACTGGACCACTAGACTTAGGGTCACAACAAAACATCATATGTATTAAGATTGCTACTTGTTGATGAGTTTGTATCACGGTACAAAATCTACATCAACATTAATGTTGAATTATGGGATTAAGACTTCATAATTTTCTTGGATCAGAGTCAATGGGTCTGATCAATTAGGCCCAACTACCCTGCGTACACACGAATAACT